GAGACAGAAGCAGACTTAGAAAAAGAAGCATAGATACAGAAAGCAGCTGTAAAAGGCGGCGGCGTCCAGGAAACACACAGCCAGGCAGACGAGCTCCGAGCCAGCTCCCATGTCAGAGGATGAAGAGAGCACATCCAGTTAGTCACAGTCAGAGAAACAGGACCACACTGGAAAACAGGCCGATCTCTAACATCTTATTTTAGAGTAGAAATATCCTGTGTTATATTTACACCTGGATCAACAGGGAGATCCAGCTGTGTCAGTTAAAGTTGGAAGCTAACAGGTTAATATTTAGGATAAAAGTTGAACATAGACTTCAGAGAAAATAGGAAAACACGTTAGAGAAGGAAAGATAATTAAAGATTGGATACTTAAGACTCGATGTTCTAAAGTAAAGCAGCAGCAGACTAGGAAAAGATGGGAGAAATGGACAGAATGACTGTGAGGGGTCAAAGGTCAATGCAGGGAGTCCTGCTGTGTGGTAAAGCGATGATGTTACAGTTTGGTTTTAAATATATCTGGATCAGAACTGACCCGGATCTACAGAACCTCAGGTTCTCCTCAACATTTAGGGCAGATCTGATCAACATTTTGTCCTTTTCCTTCAGACCCGGTCCAGCTCAGCATCCACAGGTTCTGCTCTTATTAAAACGCTTTAAAAGAAAAACTGAAAACAGATTTTAATCCAGATTTAAGCTGAAGACCAAATTAATCTAAACTGCTTCTCGTTTCCCTGATAATACATTTTATTTCTCATAATGCATTGATTTAAAGCACAGAAATAACAAGATTTGTACATTATTGTCGGTGTTTTAATCATCTCTTTAAATCTCTCTGTATTTAATCTCTGATAAAACAAAAGCATCGGTCCAGTAATCCAGCCCATGTCTGGGATTTAAGCTTCATCTAGGCTGGGCTGATTTAAATGACAAATCGCCAAACTTATGACGTTTTTCTACTTTTACAAACAGAATAAAATGATTTCTCTTCATATAAATTGCTTATGTCCTGTAGAACAGATGGATCAGTCCAGATTCTGGACCACAGCTCATCTAATCTGGTCCAGGAGTCTAAAAAACGGTGAAATAGCCCTTTATGGTCGCCAGTCAGAGGCTAACTTCAGGGCTGGGTGCGCTAACCAGCTGGGGAGAAAAACTCCAACTGCAGCTGATTAGAGGCGAATAAAACCCAGAGAAACTGGCAGGAAGGCGAACCCGGGTCAGCCCCGGGCTAAATGTGCTGGACAGGACTGAGTTGTGGCCTGCTGAGCCCAGCAGAACCGGGCCAGGTGAAGTTAAAACACAGCTAGCCTGTTAGCTTCAGATGCTAACCAACTTCTAATTGGGGCACCTTGTAGGAACTAAAAATAACCCAGAATATCAATAAAATATTCTCTGCCGCCTCATAAAGATCAGCTTACCTGTAGCGTCTGAACTAAAAAAATCTTAAAAATATTCTCTTCCCACATAAACTGAGATGGACATTAAAACATTTGGTTTATTATTGTTAAAAACTAAAGCTGCTGGTGTCTGCAGGCTGCTGGTAGCAGCATCCAGAGATCTGCATGTCTGCAGAGGAAACTCTTTCATCTGTTCTGCAGGAAAACGCTGCTTAAAACCACCAGGATAAAAGACTTCTTTTCTTTTTGGATTAAACCTAAAAATAATTCATCCAAATATTCCAGCTTATTTTTATTCTGGGAGAAGTTTCTTATCTTCATTTATTTTACTCGCATCAGAAACTCAAACCAATCATTATTTAAAAAGTCACTTTGGCTCAAAATCTCTACAGAATTTAAATGGATTTATTGAAGAGTTTATTAGAAATAACAAAGTAAATCTAAATGAGCGTTCTCCAGGATCTCTTCATGATCTACGGTCCTGCAGGTTTTAGATGCATCCCTGATCAACACGGCGGGATTAAAGGACTGATGCCATCAGGTTTGGCAAAGGTCTGGTTTAAAAACCAGCAGCATTGGAGCAGGGATGCATCTAAAACCTGCAGGACAGCTCAACTGGAGGAGCACGGTTAGAGACCGCTGAGATATCAGGATATAGGACCTTCAGAATAAAAGCCTTGCATGACTACACTACATTTGGAGATTGTTTTTATAATTAAATGTAAACTTTTCTGCAGCTTTTAATCACCTAAAGCTTGAGAACTTCACCTGGCTGTTCTGTTCGTTCTCTGGTTTAATCCGGAGGCGTTTCTGTCTCCTCTGGGTTTCTTTCCTTCTTCCAGGCAGATTCCAGGATCCTTCCAGGATCCTTGGAGCCGCTGTAGTTTGATGCGTCGTTAAAGGATTAAAACCAGTTGAAATCTGGGCTCTGGTTTTTCAGATCTGTTCATAATGAAGGATTAATCTGGATTAAAGTTATATTTTAAAATGTTTTTAAGATTTTCTAGTGTAGAAACAAAGCAATCAGCAGAAGGAAGATTTAAAAACTTTTTAACATGAGAGTCTGACCCCCTGATTCCACATCCTCCGCTGCCCCTCCGCACGTCTTCTCTCTCCATCACCGCTCCGCTCTGGTCCAGTCAGGTCAAGGTCCGCTTTGTGATCACACCCAACAGGAAAAAGAACGACGAGAAGATCCAGCTAGATTACGATGGATCTGTAACTACAGATTAGAGCATAATTCTTATATATTCCCAAAGACTAAAAGAGTTTAATTAAATGATTGGATGCAAACTATTGGCGCTACATCATACCAGGAAGCAGATTACTCATCCTGATCAAAGGTTAAAAGTTTAATTAAATCCAGTCTCACTAACTTCTTATAACGGGCCTGGATGGAGAGATGCTGAGTTTGGAGCTGGAGAACAAACATGGTTGATAAAAATGTTTTTATATGATCCTATTTATCCAGAACTGAACAGGTGCTGGATACTGATGGATTTTTTAAGATGTCAGATTAAATGAAGTGTTTTGCCTTCATGAATTTAACAATAATCATAATAAAGTGGCACCTGCTCTGCCTGAGCTCCAGGGAACGGCGGAGGCTGCAGCAGAGGTTGGTTCTGGTTCTACGGTCAGAGGTTGGTTCTGGTTCTACGGTCAGAGCAGACGGTTCTGTTCTCAGCTGGTCTTTTTAATCCATCATCTGCTGCAGAACCTCCTGATTGTTTATGTTCCTGATCCAGACCCGGTTGGGCTTGGTTCTGTTTGCTGAGCTGCTTCATCCACCTGATGATCTCCTCTTCCTCTTCTCTCCCCCCACCCCGACCCGGTTCTACAGACGCCCAGCGGGCCCTGCTGCTCCTGGAGGAGTACCGGAACAAGCTGACCCACACCGAGGACCGGCAGCTGAGACTCTCCCTCCAGCGGGTCATCGACATCTTCCAGAGCAACCTCTTCCAGGCTCTCATAGGTAAGCGGTACCAGAACCGGACCGGTTCCCTCCTCAGACCCGGGTCCTGTGGCGCTGCTTGTACTGCTCTCATGACGTATTCCTGCTGCTCTGGGCCCGGTTCTCTACTCAGAACCCAGACAGAACCCTGAGCTTCTCCTTGTTGGTCCAACTCATGGTTCCTGCAGATGTTCTGGACCCCTGGTTCTGGTTCTGAAAGAACACGTACCGGGTCATGATTCTGTTTCTAATCCGTTGGCCGTGTTGAAATGTGACCCGAATGCTGCTGTCAGGGAAACCGGACCAGCTGACAGAACCCATCAAGGTTTAACGTCCTTTATCTCTTTAAACTTTAAACCGGTCCAGAACCATTGAGGTGTTCTGGACTTTACCGGTTTGTTCTGGTTCTTGAATCTCTCTGGGTCGGGTTGTGATGGTGTAAAAGCAGCAGTATGGCTTCTGTAGACCACAGGAAGCTGTTTGGGTTCTGGTCCTGTCCCCCTCAGGCTGCTGGCCGGGCGGTTCTGATGGTTCTGCTCCATTGTTCTGGTACCGAGCCCGGTCCAGTCTGACCGACTGAACTCCGCTCAGCAGCTGGGAGTCGGACGCTCGGCGGCACCGTGTCTCTGACTCAGATTAACCTCTGAATGGGACTCGGATGGGATTAGACTCCATTAGGAGGGTTAATCCAGCCGGACCCTGAGCCCAGTGAGAGTGATGCTGCTCTCTGTGGTCTCCATGGAAACGGTTCTGATACACTACGTTCAGACCGCACGCAGCAGGAGGAATTCATTTCTGATGCTTGTAATAGTTTGATGTGCGGCTGAAGCATCTCTGCTGCTCTGGCTGCGCGGTGGTTAAGTGGGTCTGATGCGCGGTGGGCGGAGCTAACCGTTCCTTTCTCTGCCTAGAACAATGGCGGCCATATTAGCTGTGATCAGCGGGTAAAAAGTAGTTTGAATCTATTTCTAAGTGAGAAAGTCCTCCTGAAAACATCATCAGTCAGTTCATCCAGATTACCATCCTGCCTTCAAACATTATTTCTCCGCTCAGACCCCCACATAGCGGCGCTGCACAGCTCTCAGGCCCGCTGGAAGTAGATGTTGGCATTTTTCAACTTTTCAAACTGCAGGCACCAAGATAATAAAATCAAACATATTCTGCAGCAGGTTTCTCCATTTTAAGTTAATTTGGGCGTTAATAAACAGTTTCAGAGGAGTGATCATTGCGCTCTGCATCAGCAGTGCTGCGTCTGACTCCCTGCCAGCTCCCAGATCAGCTTCTCTCATTGGTTGATGTGGGGCGTTGAGCAGCTAAAGTCANTCTGATACACTACGTTCAGACCGCACGCAGCAGGAGGAATTCATTTCTGATGCTTGTAATAGTTTGATGTGCGGCTGAAGCATCTCTGCTGCTCTAGCTGTGCGGTGATAAAGTGGTTCTGATGCGCGGTGGGCGGAGCTAACCGTTCCTTTCTCTGCCTAGAACAATGGCGGCCATATTAGCTGTGATCAGCGGGTAAAAAGTAGTTTGAATCTATTTCTAAGTGAGAAAGTCCTCCTGAAAACATCATCAGTCAGTTCATCCAGATTACCATCCTGCCTTCAAACATTATTTCTCCGCTCAGACCCCCACATAGCGGCGCTGCACAGCTCTCAGGCCCGCTGGAAGTAGATGTTGGCATTTTTCAACTTTTCAAACTGCAGGCACCAAGATAATAAAATCAAACATATTCTGCAGCAGGTTTCTCCATTTTAAGTTAATTTGGGCGTTAATAAACAGTTTCAGAGGAGTGATCATAGCGCTCTGCATCAGCAGTGCTGCGTCTGACTCCCTGCCAGCTCCCAGATCAGCTTCTCTCATTGGTTGATGTGGGGCGTTGAGCAGCTAAAGTCACATTTTTCCAACTTCAGCAGCTGCTGCTTCTGAAACGCGTTGCACGTGTCAGAATGCCTAGAAGCTCCTGAGGCGCTGCTACGGCTGCTCAGCACGAGCTGCAGAACTTCTAAAAAACTAAAAAACACTCCTCTGGACTTTGTTTCCAAGTTTGAAGGCGTTTCTCTTCCATCCAGGAAGCTTTTTTGATTAAAAATGTCAGAAATAGCGTTCCAGGTTTCATAGAGTGAACCAACAAAGCCTTGTTTAGAAAACACACAGATTGAAACGGACGAACGGGTCCGACCCTTTAGAATGCAGGTCCTGCAATGCCCCATAACCTGTCAGATTGCTTCTTTTTTCCAAAGCGGTGGACCCGTTCATCCGTTTTTAATTTTCATGTTTATAAATGAAAGCAAGACTTTGTTGATCTGCTGGATAAAGTAAAGAACCACAACCGTATGAAGCAAAGCAGAGTCCTGGATGTTCCCGTAGAACCTTCCCAGGAGCTCTGCTTCAGGTCCGGTCCGGTTCTCTCAGATCATCATGCTTCATCAGGCCCGGATCAGGTTCTGCCTTAGCTTCCAGTCCCCCCACCCCCCCACCTCATCCCAGAGGAGATGTCTGCAGCGTTGCGAGCGCGGTGTAATCCCTCCGTGGACACCATGATTACCCGCCCGTTAATCCCCCGCCACCGCCGCAGCAGCAGCTGACTTCCTATACCTCTGCTTTCTTCCTCCTCTCTGGCCCGGTTCCTGGTGGACAGATGGCTTCAACCCGCCGCTCCTCTAACGCAGCAGCAGCAGCGGCTCCCAGTTTGGCCCAGAAACGCTGTGAGGCTGCAGGTTCTGGCTCTTCAACCGCTGATGAAGGTCCACAGCTTGTAAGTCCCACTAGCCGTCGGTTCTGTAGCGTGATCTGTTGGATCACCAGCTGATGCCGGGCCTCCCAGCAGAACCCCCTGCAGGTCCGTTATGTGCTGATTGATATGTCAGTGGTTCTGGTGCAGGATAACGGTACGAACTACTGTTTAAAACCTGTTTATTGAAACAACAACAACATTCTGCTTGATAAATCACTGTTTTACGGAACCAGAAACAAACGTTTCTGATTGTTTTGTCTTTTTTTTGTCTGTCAGAATAAACAGAACCGCTGGTTCTGATCAGAGTTTTAGGTCAGCCTGTGTTTGATGAAATCATTAAGTGTTGATGCCTTTTGGACGGGACCAGGCTACTTCCTGGAATATTTCCAGGCGCTCTTTTCTTACCTTCTATAATTTCTGGTTCCGTTCCTCAGACTGACTTCCTGACCCGCTGTTCTGTCAGACCAGCATAGTCGATACGCAGCGCAAGACGTCAGATTTGCTTTTATCCCTTTAGTTTGTACAAAAACTAGACTTTAGACAACCTCGACAGGCGTGTTGCTTTAGTCGTGTACAAAAACAAAAACAATTTATGGTCAGATCACCATACGCTTCAAAAACACCAAAAAGTCATTAAATGGTTTCTATTTGTACATGACTAAAGGATACACGCCTGTTGAGGTAGTTTAAAGTTTATTTTCATACAAATGTAAATCTAAAGGGATAAACAGGTGTTGACTGCAGGTCTGCTGCTCTGACAGAACATCCACTCACTTCCTGGTTTTCCAGCGACCCGGCTCAGCTTCAGCTTCACTTCCTCTAACGGATCGGATCGACCCATGAAGCCGGACGGTTTACCATCCAGCGGTTCTAAAGGTTCTCATCAGTCCACCCCCTGATGAAGAAGAATCAGAACCTCTGTCGCTGTGGTTCTGTTTGGGTCCAGTTCTTTCAGAACCCAGGCTGTTCTTCAGCCGCTGGTTCTTCTTCCTCTCTGTGTTTCATTCCTGTTGGAAAGAAAGGTTCCCACACAAAACATAAGAAGGAAGACCGGTTTAACCCGACCGGTTCTGCTCAGCCTGCAGCTCATTGGATGGGTTCTGACTTGTCTCCTTCATGGAGGAGGACCGGTTCTGATGATCTGAGCTTCAGCAGATCATCTCCAACTGTCAGAGCGTGGAGCTCCCACAGCAGGAAGCTCATCACTGGGCGGTATTTTGGTTGGACCGCACCTCGACCCAAACACGCACGGTCCGATTGGAGGTCAGGATTTATAACTGATGAAGTCGTTTTAACAGGAAGGTCTGAGGGAGACGACTCGGTTCTGGTCCCTCCTCCCGGTCCGGTCCACATGGGGCCAGTGCCATTTCCTCTGCAGAGGTCTGGGTGTTTCCCAGCAGCGTTCCCAGGCGGTTCTAACCGCTTCCTGTGGTCCGTTTGCTCACAACAACTCAGAGATTGGCTCTGTTCAGACAGTCTGCGTCTCCAGAGGCTCACGGTCCATTTCCACCTGATAAGAGGTTCCTGTGGTTCTGGGAGCGGTCCGATAGCGCTGAGCTCAGAGCAGGAAGCAGGAGAACATGATCCGCTCTTTAGTTCTGATGATAGAACCATCTAAGGCCCATCCACCCTCTGATCCTGGTTCTGTTCTTCTGAGTCCAACTGGAAGCTTCATTTCCTCTCTTAGAGTTCTGCTGGGTCGGCCCAACGACTGAATGGGTCCAGTTCTGTAAAGACCAGCAGAATTGTCCCATTTCATCCTCAGCATGTTTCATCTGGATCTGGGATCTGGGACAGTTAGGGACGATCAGAACCTCCTGAGGTGGATCCGGGACAGTACGGGACGATCAGAACCTCCTGAGGTGGATCCGGGACAG